GCCTTGAATTCTTTAATGCTGGAAATGCAGATGATACGTTAGTGCCTCACAGGTAGAGATTAATATATCACCAGCATCACACATGACTGTCAAGATTGCAGTTCTGAACACCCTTTGGAAATGGATTCAGTCTTCTGATCTGTTGTTCTTTTAAATCTAAAACGTGTATCTCTGCATTTGTCAGTTCTCATGCCAGTGTGGTAGAAGTCTCTGCCACCTGTCATAGGAAGAGTAAAAGAATTTTGCGTGGGGATGTATCCAGAATTGAAATGTGTAGACTCAGTTTCTCCAGTTGTAATTGGCATAAGTACTCCAGGAGGGAGAGAAGTTGTTAAAGCTTCTCTAGGTTAGAGCTGGCTTGAAACCCACTGTGGATCACCAGTTTTAGTTACCCTGTGGCAGCTGCTGGATCAGCACAGAGTGAAACTCCACAGCTTCCTGCCTACTCAGCGGCTTGCTGTTTATGTACTTGTCCCAGGAATATCATGAGCCATTCTCAACTCTTTAGAGTTCAAGAAACAATAGAAAATATTAGAGACCTATGCTAAAGCAGATGCTGTGTGTATACTGGAGGGTCTATCTATCAATCATCTATCAATCATCTATCATCTACCTATCTATCATCAATCAATCAATCAATCATCTATCTATCTGTCATCTCTCTGTGTCCACTTGTAAACTGCTTTTAAACATGCATTATAAACGTGTTCTGTAGGAAGCTTGTCCTAGAAGATTCTCTGCCCAGGTTTCCCAGTGAGGAGGTGGGATGAGGAACTTTCCATTCCTACATCCCACATTTTATTTTTGGCAGAAATACCAGGAATGGATTGGGGGTGGGGGTTATCACCTACTGTCCCTTTTCCAAGATGCACTTTACCAGATAGTACTTGACAGTGCTTTCGATTCTGTAAAATTAAACCTATCCTTCAAACTTTTTTTTAAGAAATCAAATGGATTAGCATTGCTACTTCTGTTTGGATGAATTGTCCCTTTTTGGGCCATGTCAGTTTATCACTCATCTATTCTGTGAACACTTTCGTGAGACCTTACAATATTTAA